AAATCAACGCGCAGCTGCGGCTGCTGCAGCGCCAGCGCGAGGCGACCGACCGCAGGCTCAGCGACGTGCGTAAGGGCCTGCTCATCAACGGGCAGAGTGTCAAGCTGCGGGGCTACCGGCCCGAACCCGAAAAGGTGGGGGGCCTTCCCATCCCCACACCTAACTGCAAAACCTGGAGGTTTCAAGAGAGCTGGGGGTGTAGCTCGTGGTAGCTTTAGCACGCACAGGGCCCTGGATGTGATCGCAACACCGCCAAAAAAAAAAAAAAAAAAAAAACAACAGCCGGGCATGATGGTGCACGCCTGTAATTGCAGGAGTCTGAGGTAGGTGGGTCCCTGCAAGTTCAAAGCCATCCTGGGCCTGAACTGCATAGCGAGATCCTGTCTGGGAAAAACAAAAAAACAAAAACTAAAGGCTCAGGTGTTCAGCCCAAGAAAAACTTTCCCCATAGAGAGAACACCTCCCACACCCCAACTCCAGTCACTACAGGTACAAGATGAAGACATACACCCCAGGATGAGATATCTACACCCCCAAGTCCCAAAAAGTGAGACCACCCCCCAAAAGGGATGAGATTTACATTTCCTCTAAGAGAGGGACACTAATTCCAATCCTGACCTCCCCCCCAGCCAAGGAGAGAGTGGACCCCTGACTCAAAAGAAAATCTTCCCAAAGAGAATGTATTTCTATGCAATGCAGTACTGTTTAGCCATAATCAAAGATACATATTTGAGTCACTGGTAGCAAAAATGGATGTACCTTGAGACCTTAATATTAAGTGAAATAAATCCCAGAAGTTTAACTATTGCATGTTTCTCTTATATGAGAAACCCAAACTATAAATAATTTAAAGAGCAAAATTAAAGTGAGGTAATAGGAAACGGGGATATACACCTGTGGCAAATAGGAAGGGGACGAAGAGATGGAGGGAGGGTGAAGAAAGAGAGGGACAGGAAAAAGAATTGAGTTGTGTAGTGTACATGTTCCAGCTCCTCCTGATGAATGTGATCATTACATACTGAAATGTGTACAAATAAAATTTTTTAAGTTAAAGGTCTCTCCAAAGAGTAAAATCCATAATCTCTGCCAAGCCACAGCACAAAATCACCTACTCAGCTCTCAGGCCTAAAGGATGAGAACTTTTCCTAGATGTCCCAATACCAGGGAGGAACCAACCCCCACCCCAGCCTCTAGCTGTGCAGAGCGAATGAAACTCCCCTGAAAATGTAAGATAAAACTAAAGATCCCAGCCTCAGAAAGTGAGAACCCCTCTCCAGACTCTGTCTAGGAAGAAGAAAGTCCTGGGTCCAGAGTGAGACCAGACTCCTGGCCCCTTCTCCCAAGGTTTAAGCATCCAGCCATGGAGAAAGGGTGAGACCCCTCCCTAGTCCCAGCCCTGGTAAATCTCCCCCGAAATAAAATGTCAGACCCCACCCTAAAAGATAAGAAACCTCCAAGCTTCCCTTTAGGGAAATGAGACCTTGCTTGCAAGGCGAGATTTCTGCCTCCAGCGCCCATATCTAAAAAATATGACCCCAAAGGGCAAATCTTCTCCATATGATGAGACCTCGTGTAGCTAGGGAGAGTGATAAGACCATCACTCAGGAGGGGCACCCATTTTAAGAAGTGATGACCCTGCCCCAAGCTCAGTCACCTCGATCCCAGCCCACTGGTCTCCTATCTGTAAAGGGGAGAGATCCCCAGTCTCAAACTCCAGAAAATAAAATTCCATGAAGTGAGAACCCCTAAAGGGATCAAATCTTACCAGGCAGTGAGATCCCCGAAGTGTAAGCTCCCCCAACCAACTTCATCCTCCCAGCCCATAGTTTATGAAGTTGGCAAGCCCTCTTGTACCCTAGAAGGATAAATCCCCCTTTGGGCCACTCTCCCTGAACACAGGTCTCTCCTTGTTTCCTAGGTCCCTGACAAAGCTGACAGTATGCTTACATGGGAGAAGGAGGAGCTGAGATCCATGAAGAGGAAAATGGAGAAAGATATGGAAAAATCAGAGACCCTGCTCAAGGTAAGTACTATCTGGGGCCAAGTCATGGGGGCTGGAGAAGGTCACTAGATGCATAGTGGACAAACTGCTCCGACCTTGGTGACAACAGCAAGTTCCTCAACCCAAACTGACCTGACGGTTCAATGACATTCCCATTTTGCAAAGCAGAGAACCTGAGGTACTGAGACATGGAGTTGGACCTCAGGATAAAAATGAGCACCAACTTGGGTAACACTGAACTCCTTAAAACTCTCTCCTGTGAAATAGAAACTTTAATCCTTTCTTTAGAGTTGGGAACACTGAGGCTCAGAGAGAAGTGATCTCACCTGAGGCCTGGAGCCAGCTGGTGGCAGGGCTGTGGTTCCACCCCATGTGTCTTTGAAGACACTTGAGCTTTTCACCCTCTACATGAACTCTTTCTTCTCTCACTGCATCCTTGGGAACCAGTTAGGGTTAGTTGGTAACATAACTGTGTGCTTTTGACTCATCCACATGACAGATATTAACCCAGTACCCTGCTGTCCCAGACACTGTGCTCGGCATTGGTGACAAAGTGAAAACAAACCAGATCTGATCTTGCCCTGGCAGAAGTCACAGTCAAGAGGTATCAAAGAGGGGACAGGCAGACATTTAGCGAGAGTGCAGGTGTAAGATGGATGCCTCTCATGGTGCTGAACTTCAGGGCACATTCCCTAATCACCATCACACCCCTTAAACTCTGGGGATTCCTGAAAAAGCCCTCCCAGCCAATCTGAAATGGACAACGAGAAAGATCATGAGGGTGGGCACAGGACGAAAGGCTCCAAAGAGAGAAAGGAAAATAGGAAGATGAGGAAAAACTGATACAAACAGAAACAGACATCCACTGGAGCTGGACTGGGTGTCAATGGAGAAAAATGTTCACTGTTAAGCTTCCTTGTTTCAACTTAAATTCATGAACTCAAGTCACAAAGTGGCACTCAAAACTTTCCTACGGGTCTCTGTATGTCTCTAGGCTTGTTGTCCTGCTGTGCAAGTTACTTCCTGTGTTAGTCAGCTTTCCATTGCTGTGACAAAATATTTGAGATAATCTAGTAGGAGGAAAGGTTCATTCTGGCTCATCGTTGTAGAAGTTTGAGTCCATGGTCCACTGGATCTGTTTATTTGGGCCTGTGGTAAGGCAGGAACATCACAGTGAGGAGCATGTGGCTCACCTCATGCTGACCAGGAAGCAAAGAGAGAGAGAGAGGAAGAGCCTGGGATCACACTCTCCCCTCCAAGGCCACACCCCCAATGACCTCACTTCCTCCCACAAGACCAAACCTCCTAAAGGGGACCAAGCCTTTAACGTGAGCTTATGAGGGACAGTCCAGGTCCAAACTCTAACTCTTCTCTTTCTTCAAACCTCTCCAACTTCTCATTCCTTCCTCAACGTATACTGACCCCAGTGCATGGAAACACAAAAGGGACTTCTTTCATTTTTTCCTCTGTCCGTCTTATACAGACAGCCCTCTGTACCCATGGGTACCACATGCGGACTCAGTCAACATCAGGTGTAAAACGTGGGGGAAATTGTGTCTGTAATGAGTAGGCACTTTTTGCTGGATTCAATCCCCAGCATGGCAAACAAAACTGGGGAGTTATCCTTTAATGGGTGAAGATGTTTGGGATGATGTAAAAGTTCTGGAAATGGACAGTGGTGATGGCTGCCCAGTATTGGGAACATATTTAATGTTGTTGATCTGTATACTTGAAAGGGTGACAATGGCTAGTTTTATGTTGCATCTGTTTTATAATTTTAAGGAGCCCACCTCTCTTGATCCTATGCTCCCCTCTGAGTGAATCCCCATTTCTCCGACCCACTTGCTAGCCAATCTTGTCTGCATCTGCTGCACCCTCCTTCGGCCAGGAACTGACCACCCCAGCCCCATTTCCTGAGCACTGAATCTCCCTCAGCAGGCACACTGCCCAGCACACGATAGAGACTTGATGAATCTTTGAATTAATGAATGATTTTGTAAAGCCATTTTGTTAACCAAATGGATGAATCCCAAACATAATGTATTCAGAGAAAGAAGCTGGATGAGTATTTACTGCATCAGGCATGTAATCCCAGCCATTCTGGGCTGAGGCAGGAGGATTGCAAGTTGGAAGCCAGCCTACACAATGTAGGGAGATTCTGTCTCAAAGTACAAAAAGGTCCAGGATTATATATAGTTCAGTGATAGAAAGCCCCTAAGCGCAATGGTCAGTATCCCTTCCCACCCCCCCAAAAAATATTTACTGTATGATTCCATTTGTGTAAAGTTCTAAATTCAGCAAGCTTTTTCTTTTCTTTTCTTTCTTTCTTTCTTTTGGTTGTTTGAGGTTTTTGTTTGTTTGTTTGTTTTGTTTTGTTTTTGTGGTAAGGGGGATCGAACTCAGAACCTTCTGCATGTGAGCCAGGTGCGGTGCCACTGAGCTAAATCCCCAGCCCAGCAAGCTTTTTATTAAAGGGCCAGATGGTAAACATTTTCCGCCTTGTGTGCTTCACATTCTCCAGCATAACAATTCGGTGCAGCCACTGACCACGCACGTAAGAATGGACATAAGCTGTGGCCTTGTAAAATCTTATTTACAAACCCAGAACACCCGTCAGTAGGCTGGAATTTACCAACTCCTTAAAGAAAAGGCAGGACTTCGATTCATAATCACTAGATCTTGGAAGCAGCTTACAGGTCCATGAGCACATTTGAGACAAATAAAACATGGTTTATATACGCAGTGGGAGGCCACTCTGCTGTAAGAAAGGATGAGTTTGAGTCATTCATAGGGAAATGGATGCCCCTGACACCATTATGCTAAGTGAAATAAACTAGACACAGAAGGCTAAATATGGCACGGTTTCTCTCTTATGAGAAGCCCAATATATAAATAAATTAAAGAGCACAATGAAAGATGGACTACAAGAAGCAGGGAGATGGACTTCGCAGAGGTGGGAAGGGGATCTGGGGATGAGGGGAGACCAAGGGGAAGTAAAAAGGACCAAGATACAATGCATGTATGCACAGCTTCTCCACCATGAATGTATTTATTATGTATCACAAACATATATTCATATTAAAAAAGGGAAGAAAAAATAAAAGTCGGCTTAGCGAGAGGAGAGGTGAAAGGGTCACCAGGGAGATGTTGTGGTTATGGGAAGGATCTGCGGAGCATCTTGACAGGAGGGAGCAGGCGTTTGTGTCAGTGTGGACCTGTGCAGAATGACTTCTGTTTTGATGAAGTTGGGCCTCCAAGTAACAGTGAGCCCAACTTTGCCAAAGCCTATGTAGCTTTTTTGTTTTTTTTTTCTTTTGTTTCTTTTTGTTTGGTTTGATTTAGCTTTGACTTACTGAGGATTGAACTTAGGTGCCTCATACTGAGTTACATATCCCCCGTTAGATTCTGAGACAGTCTTCCTAAGTCACTAAATTGCCCACCAGGCTGCATATGAAATTGTAATCCTCCTGCATCAGCCTCCCAGAGTGCAGGGATTATAGGTATGTATTCAACACACTCAGCTCCTGTGTGGTTTTTGAATGTGGAACTCCTTTATACTCCCCCATGGGGCTGGGGATAGAACTCAGTAGTAGAGCACTTGTATAATATCGCAAGGCCCTGAGCTCCATCCCTAGCACGGCATCCCCAGTATCATCATTATCATTATTATCATGTTGTTGTTGTTTTCTTGTTGTTGTGCACTTTTAATATATACAATTTTTGTCAGTTATACTTTGGTAAAGCTAGGCAACAAGTAAATGGAAAAGCACAGACTTTTAAATGTTCTCTACTCAAAAAAAAAATGTACGTATGATAATGAAAGCATTCATTAGCTTATGTAATGATTCTACAGTGTATGCAAATATCAAAAACATTATATTGTGCCCCTACAAATATATATACTGTCATTGCCTGCCAATTAAAATGAAAAATGAGAAATAAATAAAAAGGACCTTGAAAGATGCAGTAATATGAGCCAAGAGGGAAAAAATCTTTCTTATGAAATAGAGATTTGTCATTTTTTAAAAGAAGAGATTTCATAACGGGGCACCTGTAATCCCAGCACTCAGGGGGCTGAGGCGGGAGGATCATCCCAAGTTCAAGGCTACCCTCAGCTACTGGTGAGTTCAAGGCAGCCTGGTCTACACAGCAAGACCCTTTCTCAAAAATAAAAATAATAAAAATAGTTATAGTGAGGAAGAGGAAAAAGGAGAAGAGGGATATCATGAAAGAAAAGTATTTCTCTGGAAATTTGGGCAAATAAATTAAATAAGGAAATATTTTCATAGATGTCAACCCCTTTAAAATATCAACAGTGAGAATGGGAGGAAAGGCTGGGAGTGTAGCTCAGTGGTGGAACAACGGCTTAACATGTGTAGGACCCTGCGCTCAATCCCCAGCACTTGCAAAAGGAAAGAACCTGAGCGGATCCCTTTATAGGTAGAAATGTTTGGCAGCCTTTAAGCCTCCCAGCACCCAGCCCCCATAGAGAAATCACCTTCCTCTGCCTGCCTCAGCCTCCCAGTCATTCTGGCCTCCCTGCCTCGGCCCCCAGAGCCTGGCCTCCTGCCGTGACACGCTGGGCTTCTACTGTAAAGAAAGGCTGCAGGCTGTGGAACTCATGAACCAGCCGCTTGACAAGGTTCTGGAGCAGGCCGGCCGCCACTCCTGGGTGGACCTCTCCCGCATCCCCACCCCACGCACTCAGGGACAGAAGACACCTCCCCCTGACCCCGTGGGCACCTACACCCCAGGTAGGCCCACAGTAAGGAGTCTGAGAGAGTGGATGTCACTGGCTGTGAGTGCACCCTGTCACCCACATAGCTGCCCCCTCGCCCAGGGAATACCAAGCTCAGCTCTGGCCCCATTGTTCTCTTACTCCCTGGACAACCCCATCTCATACACAGGTGTCTTGGTTTGGTTTGGTTTGGTTTTTTAAGTTGATTTGTTTTGTTTTGATACTAGGGATAGAATCCAGAACCTTTGTGCTAAGCTACATCTTCAGCACCCCCACCCCACCCCTACACACACACACCTTTTTTACAATTTTGAGACAAGAGCTCCCTAAGGCACTAAATATCCCAGGTTGAGCTCAAACTTTCGATCCTCCTGCCTCAGCCTCCCACAGTGCTGGGATGACAGGTGTGCACCTCCAAGCTTGGCTTCATTCACAACCTCTGCTTCCTTTAAGGAAACCAGTCCAAGACGTAACTCCCCAGTGATAGCCTTGACTTTCTCCCGGTCCCTCCTCAAAGTTGCCTGTGGCCCAAGCCTGCCAGAGACTACCCAGGGAGGGAGATGCGGGAAGCCCGGGTCTGGGCTCGCCCTATGCCCCTATGCCAGTATGCGCGGTTCCGTGCGTTCCCAGAGTGCTCTGTGGCGCTGAACGAAGCCAAGAGGTTGTTGATGGAGTCCAAGGAAACCTTGGCAGAAATGGCCAGAAATGAGTCGGATGTCAGGGAGCAACAGCAGCAGATAAGCGACCGTGTGTGCGCCACGCTGGTGCAGAAGATACAGGAGACCTTGGAGCTGAAGGTGCGCGCGAAGGTGGCCGCGGCTGAGGATGGGAGGGGACCCGGGCTGGAGATGGGGGCCGACCGGGAGCTGGCACCACTTCCCTGTGCCCCCACACCCCTAGGAAAGAATGAACATGAGCTTAGGACTGATGAGGGGAACTATTCACCGGTGCACGAAATTCAACCAAGAGATGTACGTCACCCGCGGCCTCATCAAGGTCAGGGCAGGGAGACACAGTGTGGATGGGGCGCAGGAAATAGTGTGGCCCGGGCCTTACCAGTTGGCGCACCGCACTCCTCCAGGGTCCTCTGTCCGAAAGCCACCTGGAGACTCGAGAGAAACTGAACAGACCCCTGGTTCGCGTGTATCAGAGACACGTAGGCACTCAACTCCCTGAGGCCTCTCGCCTGGCACAGGTGCGGCTCCTCCTGGTCCCCTCCCCTTTGGCGCCTCCCGCCCGGTCTAGGTGCGGGCCCATCCTGGTCAGCCTGCTCCTCCAGCTTATCCCATCAGGTAAGACCCCCTCACCAAGTCAGCCCACAAGGAGACCCATCAATACCTCTGTGTCCTCAACACCCATCCGCCTCCCACACACGCACCTTCGTGGGGCCCCTCCTTCAGTGTGCCCTGAGGGGCTCCTCCAGGCACACCTGGCCCAGATGTTCCCCCAACCGAGGCCCACCCCGCCCCTCACACTCTCGGTGGATCCCCTCTCTCAGTCCGTCCAGGTGGGCGGGTTCTTTGTCTGGCAAATCTGGCCCCTCGTCTTTCCCTTCCAGCTCCAACACCCCAACCCCCCACCCCCCCCACC